AAATCCTGGATCCACTAGTGGATTTCCAATGTCTATATATGGACTATGTTCACTCACTCAAAGTGGAAAATGGAGGGGAGAAATCAAGCTCTCATAACCACTAGACCAATATTACTCCTCTGACTTTTGTTTCTGAAAGTTATTATTTACCTTTCTACGTCAAATCAATACTTAAACGTATAATAAAATATTAATTTACTAATATTAAAAAATTTAAAAAGTGAGAGGAAGGTTTATTTGCTATCTATTTATTTTCAAGCAAATAAAATGTATTTTAACAAGTTGTATGTTTTTTTTTTTACAAAATAAAACAATCCTATATTTTATTTTTTAATATTTCAAATAAATATAAAACATAATTAAAAATAATAGAACTATTTAATCCAAAATTAAAAAAGCGGTTTTTTTTCTACGAATTTTTGTAAATATGAGATTTTTATGTCATAATTAATTCTAACTAGTAATTTTTATCTAAATTTTTTTGTCATTGCCTTTAGGTTTTCTTGATTAGTGTAATAATATTCTTTAGGTATTTAAAAAATTTATTCTTATATAAAAGTTGTTGAAAGAAGACCTTTACTATCTCTTCTTCAATTGCCACATTATATGTTCTAAAAAAACAATTAGAATAGAATAGAAAATAACTTTATTCTGGGACAAAGTCCCTTTAGAATAACAAAATAGTACATAAGTAAAAGACTACATCTGGCCAAAATAAAAAAAGTGAAAGTAAAGAAAATATTAGTTAAACAAGCTATAAAAGTTTAGCAAGCATCTGACTCATTTCTGGATAGGAATTGGAATAGAAGAGTTTTGAATGTGGATATGGAGGGGGAATGCCGAATTTTGATAGGTAGGGAATTCCAGAAATTGACAGCGCGAGCAATAAAGGAGTTTTGAAATGAGGCAGATCTGTGAGAAGAGATGTAGAGGTCAGAAGGTTGAGATCTTGTTGAAAGGGAATGGACTGAGGACATGAATTGGAGGAGGTTGTTGGCGTAAGAAGGACGATGGTTTTTGATGATTTGATAAAGGAACGTACCTAGGAAATATTGTCTTCGAAATTAGGGAAAGAGCCTGATTGTTGAGCCTTGAGGCTGATATATTTGATTATACCGGCACTCAACTCTAAGCGCTAAGAAGGGCTGGATACTACTCCTTTAAGTATGGCATTCTGGGATGGGATGGCCGAGAGGGCTAATGCGTGTGCATAGCAACAGGACAATAAAAGATACTGTGATAAAGTAATATAAAGTTCACATCCCATACAAAAGGGGCTTTTAACTCTAGCATTAATCTCCCGCCCTCACTCCCTACAATTCTTGGGCCAGGGAGTGAGGGTGGGGGATTAATGCCAGAGTGAAAAGTGGTACTGGGTACTGGGACGTGAACTCCTAATTATTTTAACTTTAACTTCCGTTATCAGATTGCTGGACAACGAGCCATCCTGTCTTAGCCCGCTCCCTTTTGCACCATGGGCAATGTTAATTATGTTTACAATGGTCAATTTAGAGCCACAAGTTAATAATTATGAAGTCTCTTATTTCATTGTATAGATAGATTTCATTTTATAAGTAGATTTCATAGGCACTGGCAATTAGGAAATATTTGGCGGAGAGGAGGGAAGTCAAAGATTATTAGAACATGATAACAGTATTATGCATGTGAGAGAAGAGGAATATAGAATGCCATACTTTTTTCTTTCTTGCCTTTTAGACTATACGGGGGTTATCTGGGCCAGGGGGTGAGGGTTGGGGTTTAATGCTAGAGTTAAAAGCCATGGCATGGGCATGGGATGTGAACTTTATATTATTTTATCACAGTATCTTTTATTGCCGGGTTGTTATGCACACACGTTAGCCCTCTCGGCCATCCCATCCCAGAATGCTATACTTAAAGGCAACCACATTTATTGGAGGAGGTTGCCATTTTGTACCATGACCTATTTTTTTTATTTTGTTCTCCCCTTCCAAACATTTTAGGCTACAAGGTGGTTTTCTGGCAAAATGGCAACCTCCCCTCCTAAACTTTAGGACATATTAAGTCGCAGAAATTGAACCGTTTATGTTAATTATGTTTACAATGATCACTTTAGAGTCAAAAGTTACATAATTAATATTTATGAAGTCTTTTTATTTCATCTTAACGAGTCATTTAGATGGCCAGACTAGACCTGACATGCTGGTAAGGGAAGTAGGAAGGTTGCTCCCCACCACCAGCAAGTGACTTATATTTACCCATCCCTTCCCTGGTCTGTACTTTACCTCTCTAGCCTGCCAACTTAATAATTACTAACTCAATAATAATTACTAAGCTTCTAAACTTGACAATGAAATAAGTGAATTTTTCTGAATATTGAGCTATGCAGTATACAATTGATTTTTCAGCTTAAAAAGCTGTTTATACTTTAAAAAATAAGTTATTATCTGTTTTTTAAATTCCTTTTCATATTTTTGTTTTTTAAAGTATTCAGTAATTGGTTGATATTTTTTACTTGTATTCTAGCATCTTTGTTATAAAATAATGAGTATAATGCATCCTATAAACATTTATAAGTTTTGAAAAATTAAAATATAGGTAGATACGTGCAGAAAAGGAACAGCAAGCAGTATGTCAAAAGTAAGGGTGAATTATTGGAGGATGGAATGTACTCTCATTAACCAACATTTCAGGTCATGAATAGCCGTTAACACTTTCCAACCCTCTATTTCCCAACCCAACATATTAGGTTGGCTAGAGGCGTTCAGATGGCAATTTAATTTTGTAAGTTATGCCACGGGTGGATCTACTGAGGGGCTTTGGGGCTGAAATCCCCCTCTCCCCTCCCTCCAAAATAGTAAAATATAACTATGTTTTATGGAAAAAAATATTTGATTTTTTTATCTCTTAAAGTATTATTGTTTTGTGCAATTACATTTAAAAGGACATTAGGAATCACTTAAACACAATTTAATATAGGTAGTTAGTTTCTTTCCTTTTTTCCGAAGTAATTATCATTATTTTCTTGAAAAAAAGCTTTCGGGCTGAAGCCCCCTCTCCCCAAAAAATGAAATCCTGGATTCGCTAGTGAGTTATGTATGTATCATGATTTTACAGCTTTGATGATTTTGTCAGCTACTTCCTTTGCAACCTGACCTTTCACAATACCCTGATGAGTGGTTGAAAAGGAATGAATCTCAGGAGTCTGTTTGCAGATCTGAAAGAATAAAGGCATTATTATTCTGATTGATACTAATTTTAAAAATCCACAAAACTTCTAATATGTTTGTAAACTCCATGATTTGTAATAATATTCTTATTATTACAATACAAATAATTTTTAAAAAATTATTTGTATTGTAATAATAAGCATACAATTACAAATATAAAACAATATGTTTATATTTACAATACAAATAAATTTAACACTTCAAAATAAATGTTCCATCTGCAAATTACAATGTGGAAGTAGCAAACAACTATGAGGAATAAAAAATAACATAAATATTATTTAAAGCGAGGTGTCAGTGTCAGTACTAAAATTCAGCAAATGAAAGGGCAAGTTTGCTTGGTGACAGAATAAGTATTGGTAGGTGACAGAATTTTTATTAATAATCCAGGAGAGGTGTAGCTGTGAGAATTTTGCTCATTTAAGGAAATAAATGTCTATAATTTCCTAGTATTCCATTTATTTTGTTTATACTTTTCCCTACCTTCTTAAAACTCTCTGATGTTGTTATTTCCGCTTTTTCATGTTACTTCCCCTTTTTCTTCAATGTTTATCTCTCCACCTAAACTCAATCTGGCCTCACAATTTATAAGAAAGAGTCTTTTTCTCAGCAGTGCACTCCTAACATGACAGTTTTTTCTTACTTGAGCATTTTGATCACCTGGACACCTCCTGCATTTCTTTTTTAAATCTTAGACCCGATACAAGAAGATCTTTGATTATTTATGAAATCTAGATTATTTAGGCCCTGATGAAATTTAATTGTATGTATGAAGTTACTACTTTGCAGTATAGGACTTCAGTGGGAGTCTTATAAAAAAAGCCGACTTTATAAAAAAAAAAGAGTTACTACTTACATTTTAACTATTTTTTATCTAAATTCTAAACACAATTAACTTATTTTTTAAATTCCTACTTGTGGCTTCCTAAAAGCCACGAGGTTAGACATTAGTGACTGTAATGAGTGAAAGAAGTTTGATAATTTATTATTCACAAGAGAAACATTCAATGTCTTAGGGGAGGCTATCAAAATAATTATCAAATTGATGCACGCTGTACTATTAAAGAGATATTAGAAAGATTCCGAGGGCACTGGATGCTCTGTGTCTACATTCTGAACAAACTCACGAAATATGGAATGAAGAGATATGATCTCTTGGATGTTTTATATGTCACATTTAGAAATTTATGCGGGTAAACAGCCGCAAGCCCATCAATACAACATTTTGCTTTCTGAGTCCCATAAAGAAAAACATAAAAACCAAAAAGACATGTGCAGATAGTTTTAAACCGATTTGCAAAGAGCATTGTACTTATAAATGTACGTCAGGTGCAGTAAAGTATTCTGACTAAACAGTTATTCCTTTACAGTACATTAATTCCGTAATGATTGAAATAATTTTTTTTTCTTCTAAATTTTTAAATTTTCTAAATTTTTACGGAACAAAATAGTAACCCCACTCCTACCAGCTTAAACTAATTGGATGTTCAGGTCTTAATTTGATTTATTATTTGTCTTGTTTGGTCAAATGATGTAATTATTTTCTGAAAACCTACAATTTAGAAGCATGTAAATGATAATAGTAGTAGGTAACGGTAGAAAGTAAGTTTGATTGCGGAATATTATCTTGAGAATCAGTCACACAGACTAGACAAGATAAGATATTTATTTAAATTCATGTTAATTATTTTTAAAAGTAAAAATTGTGAAAATTCTATATGCTCATATCTTAAATTACCTTTTTGAGTCCATAATCACTTTCAATATCAAAAAAGCATTTTTCAGCCTTACAGAGAACCACTTTCCCTTTAATAATAGCAGATGGTTTATAATTATCACCGGCAACTAATTTTTTATAGAATGCTGCAATAGCAGTCGTCAAATCTCCTTCTGATTCACCATTACCTTTAAGTTTTTCAGCGCACAGATCCAATCTAGAATTGAAGTCTGGCAAGGCTTTGAACTCTTGTTGGAGCTGAAATTACATATGACTATGAATAAATAGAAAAGTTGTATTTGATTATTTATTTTTGATATTTAATTTTCATGAAAAATTTAAGAACAATCATTTTAGTAATTTTTGTAGAAATAAATATTTTAGAATAAAACCTACATTACTAGAAACATAGTTAAATTTTGATTAAGTTTCTGTATTATTTTTTTTTTTTATTGTAAATAGAGTGTGAGTGTGCTTTCTCTGAACACTATTATAAATGTCCTTGATGTGACAGAATATAATATTTCTAAATAAACAAATATAAAAAAAAAATTTGTAATACACCCAAACTATTTCAAAATTTTCCTATTTATAAAAACTTATACCTTCTTATAATCTTGGTGATCAACAGTCTTAAATAAGCTGATATAGTAAGCAAAGGCATCACATTCATCAGCAACCGCCGTCTTAGACCTGTACTTTGAAGTACATAGCTTTACGAAATCAGGGGAACCATCAATCAGAAAAATTTGCACAGTTTTGCCCTGAGATTCAAGTTGCAAGGCGAACTTGGTTGCTTTTGAAATGAATATTGTTATTCATTTCAAAAGCAACCAATGCACCAAAGGAATATCCACCAAGCAAAACTGGATCTTGAACCTCAATATTCTTCATACTCTGCATAAAATATTCAATAAATTACTCATGATAAAACACGAAATTTTAATATCATGTTTACAAATACTTGAGCATTAACAGAGATCACAGCAGTACACACCTTCAAGTAGAATGCTGCGAGTGACTGAATACTATCATTAGGGACATCTTTTGTGTACTGTAACCCATAAACATTGAAAGGCATGTTGGAGGTAAACTCTTCAAGAAGATTAACCTCTCCTTCAATTGAGTGGACGATGAAGATAGGCTTGTGCCCGTAGAGTGGAGTCGCAGATGGCATGGGAACTAATGTCTGCGTTGGTGTCAGCTTTGTTTTTACCTTAGTTTCCTAAAAAAATAAAATAAATACAATATAAAATTCTAAGCTATATTACAGAATATTATAATATTGTTATTCAAAATAATTTTCAACCCTACCTGCACTGGTTTAGTACTTGTTTGTACATTAGAAAGTTCTTTAAGTTTTCCAAAAGTGAGTAATCTAATTTCACTAACAGTAAGAAAAAGGTCGTAATTCCTATCAAGCGTCTGCTTAATTTCCGAAACCATTAGAGAGTCCAAACCCAGTTCTCCCAAAGTGGTTGAAGCATTTACATTACTCATATCTTTAATCCCTATAAAAAAAGTGATAAAAATAGGTATATACATTATTCACATTATAAACTTGGTTTGTTTCAAAAATTGCAAAATTGAAATGCCATATTGTTCTAATTTTATACCACAACAAAGAATGAAACTGTTAAAATATAATAAATGTATGAACTCAACAGTTATTTTCTAATTTCAAGTCCAGAAAATATGACATGAAGTAACTTTAAGAAAAATCTTTTGTTCTAACCTAGAATATTCGCAATTGTGTTAACAACACTGACAGAACCAGCTTTTGGTGCCTGTTTCTTTTCAGCAATGACCAATGAAGACAGAACAGGATGCGGCTGTTGAAGGAAGAAGTCAACAGTGGACATGACAGAAGTTATTCTTTGGGGTAAGGTTCCTCCTACAACTGTTTCATTATCACCTTTAAGAGCTTCAATAACCATACCAACATCACCAATTGCACCCCACTGTATAGCCAGCTTTTGAATGGATAAAAAAATAAATAAACAATCAGTCTTAGTTAAGTTTTGAGAAAAAACAATACACTAAGTTTAACTTAATTTTAACCCTAGAAGACCATTTCTTTGCCTCTCTTCACAAATCCTTTCCATGGCGGAGTTAGCCATACCATAATTAGTTACTCCAACATTTCCTCTTCCGCAAGAAAGAGATGAAAATGTAACAAAGTAGTCAATCTGATTGTAAGACCTACTGGCAATATCGAGGTTTATTGTTGAATCAATCTTTGGCTTACAAACTGCAGCAAAATCTGCTTCTGTCTGATTTTCGAACAAACCATCACGTAATACCTAAAATTAAAAATATAAAATAGATGTATAATTACCTTTTATTTTTCTTAATCTTCATTTTCAAGGATGAAAAAAAATAAAAACTCACAGCTGCGAGATTGAATATTCCACCAACAGGGCCAAGTTTGTTCGCCTCTTCTATCAAACTTTTAGCTCCCTTCATTTCAGTGACACTAGTTGTAGAGATCACAACAGTCACACCTGAAAGCCTCCAACGACGGATGCACATGTTCTGGTATCCATTGGTCACTCCTGATCTAGAAACTAGAACCACTTTCTTAGCGCCTCTTGAAATCATCCATTGTGTCAGTTCTAATCCCAAATCTCCAAGACCACCTTAAAAGGAAAAAAGTAGTAAAGCTTGGTAATGGTTAAAAGTTGTTCGACAATACTCTTTAAAGTTTATCAACAATACATTATTTATAATGTATAACTTGTGAATATAAAGACAATAACAATTTTTTTCCCTTTAATTATATAAAAATAAAACATACCAACTATTATGTAACATTTGACCGGATTCATGTATGTCTTTGGTGAAGACTCCATCAAAAGCTGTTTTGGATGTGTTACTATTCTATCAGCCTCTTCATTCCTTATTTTCAAGACAACTTTACCAATGTGCCTGCCTGTTGCCATATATCTTGACATGAAATTAAGTATATAAGACAATTTATAAAATAAAAATATAATCTTATGTAATAAGTTTAAAACAGCCTTACCTGAAAGACTGCTCCAATTCTGTGTGATTGAAGGTTGTAGTTGGAAGAGGCCTGACAGCGCCAGTCTTAATTCCGTCACGGACCAATTGTGCTACTTCCATCTTCTCGGGATTGCCAGAAGAGGCATCAAAAAGAGCATCTAGAAGGATTCCGTGGAATGATGTGTTTCTCAAGAAAAGAGACATACCTATAAAATAGATTCAATTGTAAAATATCATGAATAACAATGTCTCAACACAATTTTATTAACAACAATAATAAATCTTTATTTGAGCAATTAAAATTACAATTAAATATCTTTTTTCAAAAATAAATTCACTTAAAATAAAATTAGGGACAAAACCAGCAAGCAGTCGGGGGAGGGGGGGGTTTCTTTGAGTTCAAATAATAATCCTTTATATAAAAAAATAAGTAAAAAACAAGAAGATTATGAAAGAGAACATTTTTACTTCTTATTTAAAAATTCTTCCCACCAAATTTCATGATGTGCCAATCCCATTTTCTTCATTTTTTTCTCTTCAGTACCACTCTAGGATTCACCCCAAGTTGGTTTGGTGCAACCACTTCATTTTGTTTACTTGTGTACCATACATTAAGTCTGGCTAGAGAACAAGAAACCAGGAGCATCGACAAATAGATTACAAGAAGCTGGCAAAGTTAAAAATACAATTTATAAATAATTTATAAAATTATATATTTGCATTAGAAGGAGAGAAAATATCAAGAAATCAATATAAATTTGACCATTTAAAGAATATTGAAAATAAATTGTCAGAAATAAATCACTTCCTACTAGTTGGAGCTGGGGTCCATTTCAGATCAAAGCCTTAAAGATGACATTAATCAGGATTAATGTAAGAGTTTATAAGCCTCCCCTGGCACCAGGACACAAACTCGTAATTATTTACACACGTGTTAGCCCGCTTGGCCACACCGCTGCCAACAAGAAATTAATAACAGGACAGTACAATTATTTCACAAAATATCAAAAATCAAAGTATGGTGTTTACCCAGTAGTGATTCGTTTGAGAGGTCAAGCTTTCCAATTTCAAGAAATCGACCGTGCCTTGCAAGGCACCTCACTGATGCTTGCAGCTTGTCTTCAGACAGCGAGTTCAAAACTAAGTCAACACCACGGCCTTCAGTTTCTATCAGTATCATCTGTTCAAAACTTGTGTCTCTTGAATTACCAATATGAGATGGTTTCACCTATAATATAAAAATAGAGTTAATAACAAAACACAAAGGCTACGTCAATTTGCAAATAATGAAATTCTGAAAATTTATTACTTCTAGGAAATTTTTGAGGATGAATTCTCTTTTATCAGGTGAACCAACAGTTGTGAATACAGTGCAGCCCATGTGAAGAGCGATTGAGATGGCGGCTTGGCCTACACCACCTGTTCCAGCGTGGATGAGGACACTTTCTCCTCTCTTCATGCGACCACGGACAACAAGTGCGTAGTAGCTCTGAATGCAAAACATTTCAAATGTTTTAATTAAAAGTTTTCAAGTCCCCAGTAGCCAATGATTATTTCCAAATAATAAATGATTTTCATTGACAACTATTTACCCATATCCAATACCTATATCAGACCCATATCAGACCATGTAATACGTAATTAGAGAAATCTATTGCACCTAAGAAATTTTATTTAAAAGAAATGACGTTCTTACAGTAGCATAGACAGAAGGGATTGTAGATGCCTCTTCTAAAGACCATTTTGCAGGGACAGTCCACATAAAGTCTGGATCAGCCACAACAGAAGTAGCTAAACCGCAAGCTGCAACACATCCCATCACACGATTTCCTTTTGAATTTCTTCCCGAGAATTCGAGTCCAAGTATACACTCCTGACACAAAATACATCAAGTATAATGTTTTTAGTAATAATGGTATTTTAAAAAATATTTAAATGACTTTAAAAACAACTGATCTCAATAACATTGCTGAAAAAAAAAAATTCAATACCTGGTTAGCCATATCTCCTGGAAGAGCATCAGGAGGAAGTTTTCCAGTGGCTAACATAATATCTCGGAAGTTCAAAGGTGCATAATATACTGTGCAAAGTTCTTTTCCAGGATAATTTTCTGGTCTAAAAGAAAAATGATAAGATAGAATTATTATATAAATTTTTAATTGTATAAAATGTTCATGTTCCATAAGAAAAGTTTAAGGAAAATGCTAAGCCTTTACTTGTAGAATGATAGGGGTCCTTCAATCCATCTAAGGCTGGACAGATCACCACGCACAAGTGCGTTAACATAAGCATGTTCAACGTTCACTGAGTGTTCATTAGAGTAAACTGGCAAGTGTCTGAATGAACCCCATGCTTCATCTTTCAAGACGTTGACTAGCAGATCTTTTTTTATTTGATCGCTATGTTGAGCCATTGAGAATTTGCTTCCAGGAGTGAAGAAACACCTGAAAGAAGGAAATCTAAACTTTTCAAACATAGATTAAACTTTACCTTAAACATCCAACTTCATTCACTTCATGCTAAATATAACATGCAACAATTATGGGTATGGTTCTGTGAGACTCAATTCAAGAGATTCCAAAATCTAATCACTTGAGAACTGATGGACGTGGAGCGCACAGCGTTTAGGATGTGATTTCTTATTATTATTTTGTGTTAAAATAATAATAATCAGGAAAGAGATAGTTAAGGGTGGCAGTCATGAAATAACTTCAAATTGTGGATGCTGCTTGGAATCCGACCATAGCAGTTTTTATTTTATTTTATTATTGTTTTTTGTCCTCTCCTTCCTTTCCCATTAAGAGTATATGGGGTTTTTCCCAGGCCAAGGGGTGAGGGCAGGGGACTCATAATTACTTACTTACTTACTCCTCGGCGCTATAGTCCTTATTAGACATTAGGTAGGGGACTAATGCCAGAGTTAAAAGCCCCCCTTCTCTCCCTGGGCATCGTGACAGGATCTCTTTTTTTATTCAAATTATCTTTGATCCAGGTTGCCTGGACAACAGCAGTGCTGTGAACACACATTAGCCCGCAAGGCCACCCTGCCCTCAAAGTCTTGGTGCATTAACATTTGTTTCATGGTGGACCCGAATTAATCTCAACCTTCCTGTTTAACAGAGTTGGAGAGGTAGAGGTATCAAGAAAAAAAGTTTTTAAAAATTGTTGAAACTATTCATTAAGTCTACATTTTGACCCAACTATGCAAATCTTCATCAGGACTAAACAGAACAAGATATAGAACTACAGAATACTTTAAGAGTTGTAAGAAATTAAGTAAATGATTAACAGAGTAAATAAAAAATTTAAGGACATCCAAATTTAAAAAAAGTTATTATTATAGAGTCAATTCAAAATTGGTAGCATTAAATGCAAATATATAAATATTGAATACCATCATGTGGATGGTCATCTCTTACCTCATGATACAACAGTGAACTATTGAGTATGCAATAATAATATTGAGACAGTGAATACAGTATAGTCAAAATTAATGATCTCTATTGGCTGTATGAAATATATGCTACAAAAAAATTTATAAAAATAACACCTTAATTTTTTTACTTCTAATAATATAAAAAATGTAAATATTAATTAAAAGGAAAAAACACTTTTAATAGATTTATGAATTTTGACATGCTTTCAATTTATATTTTTTTATATAATTTTTTTGTAAAGATTAAATTATTTATTGATTCCTTGTTTACGTAAAGGCGTTATTTGAATTCCATTAATTCTCGCATTATATTAATCTATTCATTGAACAACCCTAATAGTTCCATTTAGGATGATCGTAATTTCCACCCTCCACTGCTTTGAGCAATATGGTTTTTGTAGCGGCTGGATCTTACTGATGTATATGTGACACCTTACAGTGAGATAAGGTTCTTTTCAATAAGGGTATTTCAATGAAAATAAGAATTCAAGGCAAAAGTGTTGTTATAGTAGATACCTAAGTTTGTCTCCTCCTTCTTCTCTCTTCAAGCAGTTAAACAAACCAACAAGACCACAAAAAGGATTATCATCTGACACCAGAAGGATCCTTTCTTCAGGATCTTTAGATTCTTGTATGATTTTCTTAAGTTGTTCAATCCATTTGAAATTCGTCTGTTCAATAGATATTATTTTGTTTGCTAAGAACTTCCTATAAATATAAAGTAGTATATTCAATCACATCATTCATCAATAAAGCTATGACAAGAAAGGTAGAAGTAGGTTTCACATACTCTTTTCAGCAAAACATAGGTGTTTTCTTCAGTTTTATATTCAGAAATGAAGATAAATTTGTTAAGTTTCTCCAACTCGGCTGGGCTATACATGTGAGCTTCAACTGATAAAATAAACCCAGATTCAAGAACACTTTCAGAGGCATTATTGAGAAGTTGTCCATTGGAAAAAAGCTTATGACCAATCAGAATATCATAACTATCATCGAAAACATACTCAGTCAAGTCCTTTTTAATAATATTGACATCGCCAAATGTATTTTTGTCTATATCTTCAGTAGCTGCAATAGAAAAGTCAACCTGATGGAAAGAAAGAGAGAAAGAGAGAAACACTTTATTTTCATAAAATATAAAATATAAAGGATTGCTGCCCAATTATATTGGGTTGCTATATACACAGCATACTCTTCTATCCTTAGGAAAATATATGAACTTATATATAAATATACAGAAGTATTAGTTAATATTAGTAAAATAGATATATATATACAGCCATCATCCGCTGATAATCTTTAAAACAAAAAATTCCCAAATTTTAATGATTAGTGCTTTTGATCAAAAAATCAAATTCTCTTACTCGTATTCCTGGTTCTCCTGCCAACACTGATTGAACTAAAGGCATAATAGGTACAGTTTCTTTTCCAATATATTCCACAATCTTTATTTTCTTACTTAAAGGACAGTTTTCAACAGCTAATTGGATCTGAGACGTGATTGCTTCTACCTTTGGCGTTACCTATTTGTAAACATATAATATATACATAAACATACAAACTATATATTGATTAAATATAATAAGTAAACATATATTTTATTTATTAGTTTATAGAGTAGACTTTTCTTCATTAATTATCTTCTACTCACCACATGAACATAATTTAACAAAATAAACACAAGTAATTTATTAGTATTTTCTTTATCATTTTTATTTTCATGTTTCAGCAATACTATAGAGTATAATATCTTAATTTTAATTTAAATGATTTTCATTTAAATATAAATGAATTTTATTCAAATGACGGGTATGATATAGATCCCATAATGTATTATTTATATATTTTTAGGGTAGGACAAACTATCCCTGAAACGATAAATTTTTTATTATTGTTGTTGTTGAAATGATAAAAAAGAACACTATTAGTTCATTTGGTTTTTAATTTATTCTATTTTACAGACCTATGGGCAAAGAGATAGGATAACATAAAAATATACATTTTATTAATATTTTAATATTGATGGAACAGTCCAGAAAGGAAGACAGATATTAATGTTAAAGAGTGTATTTACTTTATTGTTATTCAATGGGACAAAAATATATTTTTCTGTCGATGGGGCGGCCTGTGTATGTTGCCTTCTAGGTGCAAGACTTGATTTAATTCCTCGGATTTCAATCCCACCTGATTGCACTACTCCAAGATATGAATCATATCTAACCATAGCACCTGGAGGAACAGGAGATTAAAATTTGAGTAAAACAAACAATAAGCCTAATTAAATTTTCTTAATAAATGGTTCTTACTTTCAGCATCCTTTAAACTTGCCAAATGGCTAATGGGATCAATGACAATTTTTTTAAATCTTGTAGGAATAAAAAGCTCTCTTGAATTTGTTTTGATAAGTGCAAATTGCAACATTGTATCCATAAAACTGACCCAATTTCTTCTCCATTCTAATTCTCCAATATTTCCTAAAAGTAAACCCCAAATACAATTTAATTTTCTGAGGATAAAAAAAACACATACAACTATTCAAGACAATGAGGAGTGTGTTAGTTTACCTAAATCATCAGCTTTAATAACACCTCTGAAAATCCCTTTATAATCATAGCCTCTTAGACAGAGATATTTGTAAATATCTTTCTTATGTAGTTCAAAACTGTCTTGGGCTACTTTTGGAAGAGGCCCAAGAGAGAGGGATTCTTTCTCATATCCGGGGGACTCCTTAATTTTTCCTCTGACCACAACTGCTCCACTTTCGCGAATCTCAAATTCACCAGATCCTTCTAGTATATTGACTAGGAACTTTATAGCACCTTAAACATCAATTATAGCAATAAGTTAAGAAATTCAAAGAGAACACACTTTTTATAGTCAAGCTGTAATTGATAATTGTGTAGTACACAAAGAAATTTTAAAAGAGTATAAATTCTACCTCAAATATGACACAATGGAATTTCAAAATGATAACTTACCATCTTTAGGCATAACTGTTGCTCTGAGAAATTGTGCATCTTCAATGACAACTGGCATCTGTTCGAATTCCTTTTCATGCAGTTTAGCAAATGTTTGCCAAACTAGACTCTAGAGAAAAACAATTGTAAATATAATATAATAGTACAAATGGATAATTAATTAAATAAATGGCACTACAGTCCTTATCAAGCCTTGATCTCACTGAGAATTGATTCCTACTCCTAGCTATTTCTTTCTATCTTCAGTCATCGTTTCACTCCTATCTGCCTCAGATCATCTTCCATGTCATCTTACTGTCTCAGTCATGGTCTCCTACTCAATCTTTTTCTAACTTCCCAGCCATTCATCATCTTCTTTAGTACCCTCTCATCTAGCATCATTCACAAATAGCTTAGGTACAGCAGTCTTCCTTTTTTGACGATTACAACGATATAAGGCTTACTAGGTCATTCCAAACCTTCAGGATCATCTCGCTCTCCTAAGTCATTATCCACCACTCACTCAGATACTTTATTACCAGTTTTATTATTATCTTGCAAATAGTAAATTTTGGGATGACATCTACTGTATATTACTAATCTGTCTTTAAAGCCTACAATTCTTTTTGTTGAAAAGAGGTCCTATACATTTGAAGCATTTGGAACACAAGATGTTGTATACGCATGCACATTACCAGTGTTTTCAGAAATACTAGAAGAGTTTGAAACAGCAGCAGAGAGCAAAATAAAATTGAGAAAAAACAAAAATAACATTAAACACATAAGGACATCAAGACCTTAAGTATGTAGAGAAAAAGAAATGTAAAGTCATATAATACAAATGCATTCATTTTCCCCATTTATGTTGTCATAAAGTTCTTTTGTTCATAAATTTAAGGGCATTTGTACACGTCAGCCAGCACTCGGGCCATTTTCAATTTTTATTTTATCCATTCTAGGATTAACTAAAGAAGGATAAAATATGACTTTAAAATGGCCCAAGTTCTGGCTGAAATGTCATTGTATAAAATAAATATAGTATAAAAGCAATAATCCAATGGTGTGCAAACGATCTTAAATTTATGAAAAGTTTAATATAAATGACTATTTTTATAAGTATATGAAAAAAACTTATACTCACAAGGTAGCCTGAAGCGGGAAATAGAATCCTCCCATCGATACAATGACCGCTGATGTAGGAATCTTTATTATCTCCTAAGTTAACTTCAATGACTAACTCCCAGTTACCTTTTCCCTATAAAGAAAATCAACACTAAATTTCTAGCATGTGTAGTCTGCAAATTATCACTATTCCAAAATCATAACTAAATGTATTTGAATGGAGAAGACTGATACGAATAATTTGAAATACCTTAATATTTTACTTGATTGTTAACACTAAATTATATTGAAAGTACCCATTTGAATATTATGAACTGGACCTTTTCTGATTACTAGTGGTCTACTAAATTTCCTGATTTTGTATTTATTCTTGCTCTATACTTCAGTCTTGACTATTCACCACTTAGCTGCACTAGCTCTATAATAGCTTTTCTGTAAACTATGAAAAACATTTTTTACCCCATTTTTTTCAATAAATGTTTATCAGACATTTTTCTCTATTCAGCTTCCTATAAATAAGGCTTCAAAAGTATGATTTAATGTTGTAATTTGAAATTAGTGTTTTAATTCTTTAGAAGTCTGTTTTATGAGGTTTTCCTAATACCAATTATTTAGCTAAGAGCTTAGTTTGTGCTTGAGCTGGCTTTTACAGGTAACACAGGTGTTTTTATTCCTTTCCCAAGCTTCTAACATCCTAAAATGTCATGCTTAAGTTGATTTTATTCATCTAATAAATTGAAATCACCAATACTTAAATTTTACTTTTGATCAAAATATATTTCCTCTCAATACCCATATCCTCAGAATATAGGATACCTTTATTACAAATCAAGCAAATTAATACATTACCTTATACATTATACATTATACAGTCCAAACAATTACATTTTGTCTTCAGTTTGCAAGCATTCTCATAAATAATGATTACTGGGAAAGGAATCATGATGAAGTAAGAATTTTTATATTAATAATGTAATGATTTTATACTTTTATGGGAATATACCTTTAATAAAAATAAATTCTTCTTACTTTCACTTATGAAATATATCATCGGTTTATTGCAAAAGCCATGAAGTAACGTTTACAGGCGTAGATAAGAAAAGGCTTTTACGCCTCAAAGCCCAAATAAACAAACATCAAGTAACATTTTACAAAATTAAATCACTTAGTCCTTTGATGATTTTTCCCTCAATGAAATCAGGACACTGTTCACTTCGTGTAACTATTTTTCATTTATACCACAGACAACCAGGACTTCACCTGGTTTTGGTGCAGTGGCCAAGAGACGCAACAGAACGGGACAAAATTAGAAAAAATATAACATTGAACAAAACAGCTATCTATTTATATCAGAATTCCATTTTCTTATTTATTCCTTTCAACATCTGCTAAATCTTAAAGTGATTAGTTTAACTAGAAGTACTGAGATGGGAGGGAAGTCTGTTAAGAGGTACATTAATATAATTGGGCGGAAAGGTGGCATAGAAGAATAATGTTTGTATTTCTCAGTAGCTGCAAAGCTGAAGATCAAAGGTGTTTTCCGGATTCAATCCTTCAAATCAATTATCTTAAACTGAGTATTAACGCAATGATAATTAACCCTGGGTCCAGATAGTTTTAGGAAATTTGGAAATTATTTGTTTTATAATTTCTAATCTTGGCCTTGCAGAGGACTACTGGGGATACCAACGCGAGAGAATCACATCATAAACAAAACATGAAGCATAATGTCCTGTATAAGTTACTTTACTTCCCTGGCATTTCAAAATTATAATTTGTCTTAAAATCTAATCTTTTCTTGAAATCTCAAAAAAAAAAAAAAAGAAGAAGAAAATAATGCAACCTACAGAATCGGGGGTCAATTGCGCCTTCCGCCATGATGCAAGTTGTCCCTACCGTTTCTACGCTCCTGACACTTATAGAAGCTCTTACGTATACATTTCTATTTCTAACTTCAGTTACAGTCACTGTTAAATAATTGCATGCCAATTTAAAAGTCAGGGATGTTCATCTCCCCTCTAAGGTCGGTGGACCTACCTCTTTCTCCTCCTCTTCCCCCAAGATATTTTATTTCCTTTTCATACAAACAGAGCAAGGGAAAATAGAATTATAAATATCGTAGATGATACACAATTACACTTGCTGCGGTCTGTTCCATGTTTTCTCCTTGTCCCTTAGTATGAAATTTTTCATTCCGAAAATTCATGACCCCGTTGAAATTTCTCCACTCCTCCCCAAAATTCAAAAACCTGTCAAAATATGTTTCCCTTAAAAATTGTTTTCAAAAGTTATCGGCGATTGGTGAAAATGGAAAGGATATATTAGAATAATAGGTATGACTTGCAAACATAAGAAAATAGGTAACTGACAAAGTCAGGAGGAGCCTAGTAAAATGTTTTCCAGAGCGTCTAAAACTAACGCGATGGCACTGTAGACCATAGACCACTATTTCCTTCTTATTTTATATCTATGTCCTTATCATTTTAAGATTATTATTTAGTTTGGCATATGTAACGTATCATTACATTATATCACTAGCGGATCCAGGATTTAATTTTGGGGGGGCTTCAGCCCGTAGGATTTTTTTTCATACATATAACATTTATCTTGAGTTTACTCAAAACATGTGTAATGTAGATACGTTTCTTTCTTCTAAATGCCGTACAACTGGTCCCATTTGAGAAGAAATATAATTATTATAAAGTAGTTTGGTAAATGAAAGATGTGCGATGCTCATGCCGCTTATGGTTTTTTTATTTATTTATATTTCTTACTATCATTCTGTAGTCGGCAATATCCCATTCGGCTGAATGATCCCATTCCAATAATGATGAGATATTTGGTGTGCCTCTTGATACTGGGTATGTAATGGGTGGATATAATGCCTGCACCTTGAGCTGAAGACCAGCATTGTACAGCCTAAATCAAATCATTAACATTATATAAATCAGGGTTTGAAATCGATAAGTAAAAAATATCAAAATCAAATCTGATCAAAATATTTATCAGGAATTTTTAATTTTTGATTTTTATCAAGAGCGATTTTTATTTTTGATCATAAGTGATAAAAATTCTGTAATCCTTATTTTTGAACAGAATTTTTACAATTAACAGTAATAATAGATCTTGAATAATGCTTTTTAAAATCAGAAATATTATTTTTATCTTTAATATCTATGATATGTCGAGTCTTCAATAGTTAGATGAGAACTATTGTTGCCAAATATTACCAACAAAAGATCTTTATTTCCGAAATATTAATTAGAAATTTCGGCTTAAAAAAAAATAAATATTTTTTTTTCTTTTATTTCGGTTGACGCTACAGATCATGAAGATCTTTGACCACGAGATGTGGTCTCCTTACAGACATTTGTAGCTTGCGGGAGCACAGATAGCTTGGAGGAAGTCTCCCAACCTCACGTTGCTATGAACCATGGTCTGCATGGGGCAACGATATTCTACCCATAGCTCCATAGCTGATACCTTTGGGACTAATCTGGCAGTGTCCTTCTCAATCATTCGGGTTCAAGGACAGAGACAAATCGGTCTATATCCATACATTATGGCTGCTAAGAGTTAGCAGACGCACGAGGACCTATATTTCTTTCCCCGAAACAGACCGTCCATGGGCCGAACCTCAGAGGGGTTACTAACATCATGGTAAACTACATCCCGATTCCCGATTTAATTAAACGGGGTAGAATCATCAGTCTTACGCCCGGTCGGTATGAGTTGTACGCCAGTAAGCTGACGGGTCTAAAAACCCCGGCGGGGACGGAGAGACTCGGGCAGTATGGCATTCCCTATTGGACGGTCACCCATCCAAGTACTAACAACGTTCGACGTTGCTTAACTTTGATTACCTATTCCAAACGCCTTAGACCGTACGGCATTAATTACAATTAAAGCGATTTCAAAAATGTAGTTAATATTAATATTATTAAATATTATATATTAAAAAATGTTATTAATATTAATAACGTATACATAAATATTAATATTTTATATAATATGCGTGTAAAAGGTGATGTTTATTTTCTGATCGAAATTTTTTTTATCATAATTTAATCATTATTATTTGTGTAAAACCGTATTATTTAATCGAATAAATAAATGTCAAAGATCGTTTTAAATTTGTATTTATAAATCAGGCACAATTTTTAAATTAAAAATCAAATACAATAATTATGGCATGGTTATGTGAAAAAATGATCGATTTCAAATTCTGATGTTAATACAGAAAAGCACACAAGATTAACATGAATAGTCTCCTAAAATTTAGTTAAACCTTAATCTGATTTAGATTAAAAGATCCACATTATTTAAAACTAATTCATATAAAGTATTTTATTCATACAATTTTATTTTATTATTTGTGTTATTAATATACTAACCTTCCAATGTTGGCCAAGAAAAAGCCCAATTCATCAGGAATATTTTTGTTCACTATACCAACATTCAGACATGATTTAGGCACCGATCTCTTGAGGACGGCTTGCAAGAGAGCGTGAGGTGCTATTTCGACAACAATTGCATTCTCTGGAATATGCTGGAGTGCTTCATAAAACAATACTGGAGAAAGAAGATTGTTGACGTGGTAGGCTGCAGAGGATGTAGCAGCGAGTTGTGAGTTCCAACCAGATTCTGGAATTGATGTTGAACCCCACCTCTTTGACCTTGGTTTTGGATTTGGAATTATCTGGAATCAAATAATTTTTCAATGCAGATATTGTACTAACATGCGAATAGTTCATTTTAGATATGATAAATGATTACCCTTTCCAAGTTGATTCTTAGTTTCTGCCCAACTTCTGCAATGTATTTGGAGTGGAAAGCGACATTAGAACTACTGACTTTCTTTGCAAATTTTCCTAGTGCCTGTTGTTCTGCAACGAACTTGTCGATGAGATCAGGAAGTCCTGAAATAGTTACTGAGTCCTCACCATTGTGACAAGCTGCATAGACACCGTGTGGTGCTTGCACTTTTGCTTCTTCCCATGTTAGATCTGTGATTGAAAATTTATATTTACATCTCTGCTTTATTATTTCAATTTGAAGACAATTAAAATATGATTATGACTTACAAACTGCAGCCATAGCTCCCTTCGGTGGTTTGCATTCAATGACACACCTGCCTCTCCAGTAAGCAGCTAATATGGTCTGTTCAGCTGTAAAACAGCCATCAGCATATGCACAAGCCAATTCACCAACAGAGTGACCTATCATGCCGTCAGGAGACAGCCCGATCGAATTCAATAAATCAATTAAAGCAATCTGAAATGCAAATTAAATTAGTTATAACATTTTTTTAAAATATTTAAATTTCATTGAATAAAAACATAAGTTAAGATAAGAAAAATTCTTGAGACTAATATGTTCCGAATGGAAGAATGGGGTAGAAAACCTTATTAGAATTTTCTGCTGAAAAATCAGAAGCAATCATTTTCTCCAAAATAAATAAATTTAAAAAATATAAGATAATAAATATTTGAGAAATAGAAGTCCCCCCTGATAGTTGAGTTTTCTTACTCGTTAATTACATTTATGTAATAAATGGCATATGATCAATTCTGACGTGAGGAATCATTTTTCGTGTGGCGAGGATTGGTCGTGCATGCTAACGCATGAGTAAAACACTCGTTTCCCGGTTACCTTATTAATCGAAGATTACGAATTCAAAGCGGTGGCAGGAGACTTTTAATTCTGGCATTATCCTCCGCCCTCTCCCTCTTCCGGGAAAAACTCCGTATAGCTGAGAAGGCGAGGAAAGCGAGATAAATAAGGGGAGAAATCGAATTTTAAAAATAAATTAAAATTGTAAATCTTCTACTGGATCACAAACTTAAATGGAAAAAACTCATAGAAAAATTAAATGCAATGAAAGAGGGAAACTTCTGAAAATCTTATCCTATCAAAGCCGGGAAGCATACAGACAAATAATACTAACTTCATACAGGACTCTAATAAGGTCAACATTTATTTTATTTATAATTTGTTTTATTTATTTTATTTATTAAATTTAATGAATTTATTTTATTTATTGAATTTATTTTATTTATTGTGCATAGAGTTTGAATGTGATCTCTGAACACTATTATAAATGTCCTTTGAGACAGATTGTAATATTTTTTAATAAATAAGTTTTTAAAAAAAATAAGGTCAAAATTAGAACTATAGCTGCATATATTCCTTCCTTACCTTGTAAAAGCTTCTGAAGTAGATTGGATTCAGTTTTGAACATAGAGTTTAAGACTATCCATTGGAACGTTTAAAACTGGAACTGCATTTGCATTGCTAAGTGAAGTGGGAGAATTGCCCATGAGTCATGGAAGAAAACTCATGTTGTTCTTCGTTAGGCAGCAAAAATTCATAGTATGCAACACCTCAATAATTATAGTAGTTTGTATAAAAATGATACAAGTATTGATCTAATGAATCAGAGATACTGAGAAGCCTAATAGGAGAATACTTCAATGAGTACGAAATTATCAGCCTGCAGATATTATATCTCAGACAATAGGAGATTCTTCACAAAGGAAAATTCCATCAAATAAGAATGAAACTCCATCAAGTAAGAATGAAACAGAACCAAATAATTTTCCGAATAACACCCCTCTTGAAGCAATAAAATTGAGGTATAATGAAATTATCAATAACTGATTTCCCAATAATAAAATGTTTACTGATGGATAAAAATCAGAAAAGGTGTGGGGTTTGTATAGTAATCCAAAATCGTTTAAAAGAAATAGAAATTAAATAATAATAACTTCATTTTCACAAGTGAAAACTGAGAAATTTTTAAGGCGTTCGAGTATGTAATAAATAACAATATTGCACAATCAGTTATTGTGATCGACTCCTTATTAAGAAACTGTAAAATGTATGGACCAATAAAAAATTGCATTACAAAATTCAAGTCATGAATTTGAAGTTATATCAAAGTTGTCAGGAATTAATAGTTTTGTGGGTTATTTCGCAAATGTCATTGCTGGCAATGAACGAGCTGATGAAAGAGCAAAAGAAGCAGCCAGAAGCTACGATTCATCTTATTTAGAACCGATGTTTCTCAAAGAATGGACTCAAGAAATTTCAAGAAAAAATGGAATGAACAATGCGAGCGACTATCATTTAATCACCTTCCCTTGTGCAAAGGACAATCACACTTGGCTAAACTTAACAACCTAAAACCTAACATCAAAGGAGTGTCATATAATTAACAGGTTAAAAATTAGAAACACCACACTGACCCATCTACACTAGCTTCTAGTTCTATAACCGACCAACATTCCAAACATGTGACAATGCAAACATCGCTGCACATCATCTATTTCTGTGTAAAAAACATCATAAAGAACGAATAAACAGAGAATCACATCATAAACAAAACATGAAGCATAATGTCCTGTATAAGTTACTTTACTTCCCTGGCATTTCAAAATTATAATTTGTCTTAAAATCTAATCTTTTCTTGAAATCTCAAAAAAAAAAAAAAAAAAAGAAGAAAATAATGCAACCTACAGAATCGGGGGTCAATTGCGCCTTCCGCCATGATGCAAGTTGTCCCTACCGTTTCTACGCTCCTGACACTTATAGAAGCTCTTACGTATACATTTCTATTTCTAACTTCAGTTACAGTCACTGTTAAATAATTGCATGCCAATTTAAAAGTCAGGGATGTTCATCTCCCCTCTAAGGTCGGTGGACCTACCTCTTTCTCCTCCTCTTCCCCCAAGATATTTTATTTCCTTTTCATACAAACAGAGCAAGGGAAAATAGAATTATAAATATCGTAGATGATACACAATTACACTTGCTGCGGTCTGTTCCATGTTTTCTCCTTGTCCCTTAGTATGAAATTTTTCATTCCGAAAATTCATGACCCCGTTGAAATTTCTCCACTCCTCCCCAAAATTCAAAAACCTGTCAAAATATGTTTCCCTTAAAAATTGTTTTCAAAAGTTATCGGCGATTGGTGAAAATGGAAAGGATATATTAGAATAATAGGTATGACTTGCAAACATAAGAAAATAGGTAACTGACAAAGTCAGGAGGAGCCTAGTAAAATGTTTTCCAGAGCGTCTAAAACTAACGCGATGGCACTGTAGACCATAGACCACTATTTCCTTCTTATTTTATATCTATGTCCTTATCATTTTAAGATTATTATTTAGTTTGGCATATGTAACGTATCATTACATTATATCACTAGCGGATCCAGGATTTAATTTTGGGGGGGCTTCAGCCCGTAGGATTTTTTTTCATACATATAACATTTATCTTGAGTTTACTCAAAACATGTGTAATGTAGATACGTTTCTTTCTTCTAAATGCCGTACAACTGGTCCCATTTGAGAAGAAATATAATTATTATAAAGTAGTTTGGTAAATGAAAGATGTGCGATGCTCATGCCGCTTATGGTTTTTTTATTTATTTATATTTCTTACTATCATTCTGTAGTCGGCAATATCCCATTCGGCTGAATGATCCCATTCCAATAATGATGAGATATTTGGTGTGCCTCTTGATACTGGGTATGTAATGGGTGGATATAATGCCTGCACCTTGAGCTGAAGACCAGCATTGTACAGCCTAAATCAAATCATTAACATTATATAAATCAGGGTTTGAAATCGATAAGTAAAAAATATCAAAATCAAATCTGATCAAAATATTTATCAGGAATTTTTAATTTTTGATTTTTATCAAGAGCGATTTTTATTTTTGATCATAAGTGATAAAAATTCTGTAATCCTTATTTTTGAACAGAATTTTTACAATTAACAGTAATAATAGATCTTGAATAATGCTTTTTAAAATCAGAAATATTATTTTTATCTTTAATATCTATGATATGTCGAGTCTTCAATAGTTAGATGAGAACTATTGTTGCCAACTATTACCAACAAAAGATCTTTATTTCCGAAATATTAATTAGAAATTTCGGCTTAAAAAAAAATAAATATTTTTTTTTCTTTTATTTCGGTTGACGCTACAGATCATGAAGATCTTTGACCACGAGATGTGGTCTCCTTACAGACATTTGTAGCTTGCGGGAGCACAGATAGCTTGGAGGAAGTCTCCCAACCTCACGTTGCTATGAACCATGGTCTGCATGGGGCAACGATATTCTACCCATAGCTCCATAGCTGATACCTTTGGGACTAATCTGGCAGTGTCCTTCTCAATCATTCGGGTTCAAGGACAGAGACAAATCGGTCTATATCCATACATTATGGCTGCTAAGAGTTAGCAGACGCACGAGGACCTATATTTCTTTCCCCGAAACAGACCGTCCATGGGCCGAACCTCAGAGGGGTTACTAACATCATGGTAAACTACATCCCGATTCCCGATTTAATTAAACGGGGTAGAATCATCAGTCTTACGCCCGGTCGGTATGAGTTGTACGCCAGTAAGCTGACGGGTCTAAAAACCCCGGCGGGGACGGAGAGACTCGGGCAGTATGGCATTCCCTATTGGACGGTCACCCATCCAAGTACTAACAACGTTCGACGTTGCTTAACTTTGATTACCTATTCCAAACGCCTTAGACCGTACGGCATTAATTACAATTAAAGCGATTTCAAAAATGTAGTTAATATTAATATTATTAAATATTATATATTAAAAAATGTTATTAATATTAATAACGTATACATAAATATTAATATTTTATATAATATGCGTGTAAAAGGTGATGTTTATTTTCTGATCGAAATTTTTTTTATCATAATTTAATCATTATTATTTGTGTAAAACCGTATTATTTAATCGAATAAATAAATGTCAAAGATCGTTTTAAATTTGTATTTATAAATCAGGCACAATTTTTAAATTAAAAATCAAATACAATAATTATGGCATGGTTATGTGAAAAAATGATCGATTTCAAATTCTGATGTTAATACAGAAAAGCACACAAGATTAACATGAATAGTCTCCTAAAATTTAGTTAAACCTTAATCTGATTTAGATTAAAAGATTCACATTATTTAAAACTAATTCATATAAAGTATTTTATTCATACAATTTTATTTTATTATTTGTGTTATTAATATACTAACCTTCCAATGTTGGCCAAGAAAAAGCCCAATTCATCAGGAATATTTTTGTTCACTATACCAACATTCAGACATGATTTAGGCACCGATCTCTTGAGGACGGCTTGCAAGAGAGCGTGAGGTGCTATTTCGACAACAATTGCATTCTCTGGAATATGCTGGAGTGCTTCATAAAACAATACTGGAGAAAGAAGATTGTTGACGTGGTAGGCTGCAGAGGATGTAGCAGCGAGTTGTGAGTTCCAACCAGATTCTGGAATTGATGTTGAACCCCACCTCTTTGACCTTGGTTTTGGATTTGGAATTATCTGGAATCAAATAATTTTTCAATGCAGATATTGTACTAACATGCGAATAGTTCATTTTAGATATGATAAATGATTACCCTTTCCAAGTTGATTCTTAGTTTCTGCCCAACTTCTGCAATGTATTTGGAGTGGAAAGCGACATTAGAACTACTGACTTTCTTTGCAAATTTTCCTAGTGCCTGTTGTTCTGCAACGAACTTGTCGATGAGATCAGGAAGTCCTGAAATAGTTACTGAGTCCTCACCATTGTGACAAGCTGCATAGACACCGTGTGGTGCTTGCACTTTTGCTTCTTCCCATGTTAGAGCTGTGATTGAAAATTTATATTTACATCTCTGCTTTATTATTTCAATTTGAAGACAATTAAAATATGATTATGACTTACAAACTGCAGCCATAGCTCCCTTCGGTGGTTTGCATTCAATGACACACCTGCCTCTCCAGTAAGCAGCTAATATGGTCTGTTCAGCTGTAAAACAGCCATCAGCATATGCACAAGCCAATTCACCAACAGAGTGACCTATCATGCCGTCAGGAGACAGCCCGATCGAATTCAATAAATCAATTAAAGCAATCTGAAATGCAAATTAAATTAGTTATAACATTTTTTTAAAATATTTAAATTTCATTGAATAAAAACATAAGTTAAGATAAGAAAAATTCTTGAGACTAATATGTTCCGAATGGAAGAATGGGGTAGAAAACCTTATTAGAATTTTCTGCTGAAAAATCAGAAGCAATCATTTTCTCCAAAATAAATAAATTTAAAAAATATAAGATAATAAATATTTGAGAAATAGAAGTCCCCCCTGATAGTTGAGTTTTCTTACTCGTTAATTACATTTATGTAATAAATGGCATATGATCAATTCTGACGTGAGGAATCATTTTTCGTGTGGCGAGGATTGGTCGTGCATGCTAACGCATGAGTAAAACACTCGTTTCCCGGTTACCTTATTAATCGAAGATTACGAATTCAAAGCGGTGGCAGGAGACTTTTAATTCTGGCATTATCCTCCGCCCTCTCCCTCTTCCGGGAAAAACTCCGTATAGCTGAGAAGGCGAGGAAAGCGAGATAAATAAGGGGAGAAATCGAATTTTAAAAATAAATTAAAATTGTAAATCTTCTACTGGATCACAAACTTAAATGGAAAAAACTCATAGAAAAATTAAATGCAATGAAAGAGGGAAACTTCTGAAAATCTTATCCTATCAAAGCCGGGAAGCATACAGACAAATAATACTAACTTCATACAGGACTCTAATAAGGTCAACATTTATTTTATTTATAATTTGTTTTATTTATTTTATTTATTAAATTTAATGAATTTATTTTATTTATTGAATTTATTTTATTTATTGTGCATAGAGTTTGAATGTGATCTCTGAACACTATTATAAATGTCCTTTGAGACAGATTGTAATATTTTTTAATAAATAAGTTTTTAAAAAAAATAAGGTCAAAATTAGAACTATAGCTGCATATATTCCTTCCTTACCTTGTAAAAGCTTCTGAAGTAGATTGGATTCAGTTTTGAACATAGAGTTTAAGACTATCCATTGGAACGTTTAAAACTGGAACTGCATTTGCATTGCTAAGTGAAGTGGGAGAATTGCCCATGAGTCATGGAAGAAAACTCATGTTGTTCTTCGTTAGGCAGCAAAAATTCATAGTATGCAACACCTCAATAATTATAGTAGTTTGTATAAAAATGATACAAGTATTGATCTAATGAATCAGAGATACTGAGAAGCCTAATAGGAGAATACTTCAATGAGTACGAAATTATCAGCCTGCAGATATTATATCTCAGACAATAGGAGATTCTTCACAAAGGAAAATTCCATCAAATAAGAATGAAACTCCATCAAGTAAGAATGAAACAGAACCAAATAATTTTCCGAATAACACCCCTCTTGAAGCAATAAAATTGAGGTATAATGAAATTATCAATAACTGATTTCCCAATAATAAAATGTTTACTGATGGATAAAAATCAGAAAAGGTGTGGGGTTTGTATAGTAATCCAAAATCGTTTAAAAGAAATAGAAATTAAATAATAATAACTTCATTTTCACAAGTGAAAACTGAGAAATTTTTAAGGCGTTCGAGTATGTAATAAATAACAATATTGCACAATCAGTTATTGTGATCGACTCCTTATTAAGAAACTGTAAAATGTATGGACCAATAAAAAATTGCATTACAAAATTCAAGTCATGAATTTGAAGTTATATCAAAGTTGTCAGGAATTAATAGTTTTGTGGGTTATTTCGCAAATGTCATTGCTGGCAATGAACGAGCTGATGAAAGAGCAAAAGAAGCAGCCAGAAGCTACGATTCATCTTATTTAGGACCGATGTTTCTCAAAGAATGGACTCAAGAAATTTCAAGAAAAAATGGAATGAACAATGCGAGCGACTATCATTTAATCACCTTCCCTTGTGCAAAGGACAATCACACTTGGCTAAACTTAACAACCTAAAACCTAACATCAAAGGAGTGTTCCATAATTAACAGGCTAAAAATTGGAAACACCACACTGACCCCTCTCCACTAGTGCTATAACCGACCAACATTCCAATGCAACATGCAAAACATACAATGCAAACATAGCAGCAAATCACCTATTTCAGTAACAAACATCATAAAGAACGGAAAAACCTTAAAAATTGGAAATATTTTTTCATATGAAGAAAACAGTAGAATTGAAAAACGTTGAAATTCATTAATTACATTTATGAAGACTAATGGATGCTAATGCCCTTGGCAGTCGAGGCGAGTTATAAATCAGTAAATAAAAAAAATAAATAACTTGAATAGCAGTAATTGTGACGAAGGGATGTATGACATTATCGAATACAGATTCATCAGTGCTGTTCATAATGACGTTGAGAAGATCAACACCCTCATTGGCGAGGACTGCTGCACTCTGGTGGATGGACCTGGCAAATACCTTAAAACCCATCAAAGCTTTCCCCATTCCAGACCATTGGGTTCCCATTCCAGACATTATGTACCAGACCTCCCTCTTCTCAACTAGCTCTTCCTGAAAATAGCATGATACTCAGATTATGCAAAGAGCCATGAATCCATCATTGGAAACTATATTAAAAGTCACTCACAGAAACTTCTCGAATAGGTGTTTCAGAAAGCACAGTGAACCCTCTGAAAGGGTGACCTACAATCCTTTTTTTATGGATATCATGTAATAATGCAATCATTTCATCGTCTCTTGGCATCTTTTCTATCTGAAAATAAAAACAGTTTGACTTATTTTTTAATCCAGATCCAGGTGTAAATATATAAAAAAATATAGTTTACCTTTTTTAAGAAATTAGTAACAGCAGTACGTGTTCTGCCAGAAGCTATAACAATCCTAGGGATACTGCTTTTGGCTGAGGGAGGTTTGGGTTTAGGATTAGACCTAAGAATGACGTGAACATTACAGCCACCATAACCAAAAGAATTGATTCCTATAAGCCCACCATTCCATTTCCAGTTTTTGTCGACAACCTGAAAAAAATTATGTTCGACATAACTAGTGGTTTATAATATTAATTTCTGAATAATTTTTTTATTTAATGGACAAAAAATCCAAAAAAGTTAATTACTTGAAGGCGTCCATCACTTAATCCAGGAATATCAGTTCGCGGAGTTTTGAAATGCAGATTAGTAGGGATCACACCTGCTTCCATGGCCATTAAAATCTTAACTATAGAGGCAACACCAGATGCAGGTTCGGCGTGACCCATGTTTGATTTGACCGAGCCAATGAGGAGAGGAGACCTCCTTCCCTTGCAGAATACTTCAGCAATGGAATTCACTTCTTGTGCATCACCCGCCTGAAAAGAAAAAGAACATAATAAATAATCCATTTTCATCACAAATAGGTATTATATCGCAATTATTATTATATAAAAATCAATTTACCTTTGTTCCAGTTCCGTGAGCTTCAACATAAGCAACATCGGCCGGGTCTATTCCTGCTTCCCTATAAACTTGAAGGATCAGCTCCTTCTGTGCTTGGCCTGAAGGAAATGTGATACCCTCAGTTTTGCTTCCATCAGTATTTGTTCCAGTGTTTACTATCATGGCCTAGTTTCTTTTTGCATCCTTCGCTTTTTGCAAAAAGAGAGTAACAACTGCTTCACTCCTAACATAACCGTCACCTGCTCAGATAATTAATTTAATCTATATAATTTCAAACTAAAAAAATATTTTTTTTTATTTCTTAAAGACATTTACAACTGAATTAAATAAATACATCTAGTAAATTAGAACAAAATGTATATAATGACATGAAAAACACTTGCTGAGTAACTACCCAATGGTAGCACTCTAATGATATGTTTACAGTAGGAGATCACGAGGCCATCTTCTTTTCAGACGCCTCGGAGGGTTATCAGGAAGAGGAAGAGGAAGCAAGGTTAGAAACGATAAACGATGATGGTTTAATTTGTAACAAAGTAGGGAGCATTGAGGATTTTACGAAGGATTTTGGATTGTAAGGATTGGATACGAGAGGAATTCGATGTTTTAGTGGAGCCCCATAGCTCAACTCCGTAAATCCAAATAGGCCTTATTATAGTCAAGTATATGAGTCTTTTGTAATTAATTTGAAGATTAGAACGTTTGTCTAGTAAGTGCTGAAGTAATCGGAAACGTCGAGCGGTTTCTTGTCGTTTCAGTCTAGTATGAGGATTCCAAGTTAGTCGTTTGTTCAGGTGGAGTCCTAGGTATCGGATTTGCTCAACAGGGATAAGTGGAGTATTGTTAAAGGAAACTGTAGGACAGGAAGTTGTTGGTTTACGACGAAGGGTAAAGGTAATTTGGTGGGATTTATTGGAGTATATTTTAATTCTCCAGTTTTGACACCATTCTTCTAGATTTATGATGTGTGATTGAAGCATTTGGGATGCAATTGCTGGGTCATTATTTACCGATAGGATACATGTGTCATCGACATATGTGGTGATGGCAGTGTTGGGATGTCAGCTGTATAAACTGTATAGAGGATAGGACCTAGGATACTACCTTAAGGAACACCAGCGGACTGGGACTAAACAAATATAAATTTAAATTATGTATATTCAAACCTGAAGAATCAAAAGCTTTGCATTTGCCATCTGCATTTAACAGGCTCAATTTCATGAACTGTAATGAAGCAGTCGGATTCAGTAAGAGGTTTGATCCTACTACAACAGCAGCATCACATTTCCCTGTTTTAATTTCTTCTACAGCATGGTGAAAGGCCATCATGGAGCTAGAGCAGGCTGTGTCTATTGTATAACTTGGTCCTAAAAAATTACAATTGATAAAGTTAATTGGCCTAATAGACATTTCAACATAGTTTATATTCCATGTTATCAAGCTTACCGTGTAAATCGAATGAGTATGATATTCTGTTTGCAAGCATTGCTTTTGCATGACCCAACAGTTCATAACCGTTTACTTTTTCAGGGGTGTTGGTGTAGAAAGATCCATTATCGAAGCTGCTCGAACCGACGAGTACTGCTGTGTTGGATCCTTTCAAATCCTCCGGTTGAAGACCTAAATAAATTAGTTATACTGAACTTATATTTATTTTCGTTTATCTAAAGTATTCAGAATACAACTTCATAATTGTCACTCCAACATGATGGATGAGCACATGATCACACTTGATGGTAATCAGAAAATGGCTGAGTTTTGAATATCATGTTCAGGGATGCAACACACCAGTTATCTAGATCGCGATTATCTGCATCCGCTCGCTCAAAAGAAATAAACAAAGTCCCCCAAATCCTTTCCAGTTGAGATCGGGGTCTTAATAAACTTTAATTATACAGTTATTTTCGACTTCCTCTCGCTAAGCCCGCTTAAAATCGATAAACAAACCCGTTACGTGGCCTTTTCAGATGAGACTTACCAGAGGTCGGTTCCATCCGTCCAGTCAGCCATTTGCAGAATTGCATGTATTGTGTTATTACGTGATCTTATGTCCATTTATCATGTCGGAGTGACTCTTATGAATTTATTAAAGTATAAATAAAATGGGAGTTACACAGAAAACTCTCTTTCAAGGGATAATCTAACCTGCATCGATTATTGTTTCATAGGTTGTCTCAAGGCCAATTCTGAGTTGAGGATCCATACAGTCAGCCTGTTTTGCGTGGACTCCAAAAAATGTAGCATCAAAATGTGATATGTTTTTTAAAGTCCCCATTCAAGCTGGCACCCCATACACACCTGAAAATTTAGTTTTTAGGATTAACAGGTAGGATTTATTAGAGGAACAAAATGCTCCAGGCAGAGAAGAAACATTTCAAAAAATAACAAAGTGGGAGAAGAGAGAGAAAAAAACCATTTTTCGATATTTACGAGTCTCAGTGAGAGAGCTATCGTTGATATATGATCTTCGATCTTTTCAATTCAGAGGTGTGCAGACAATTATGATGTCGTGTTATATTTTTCAGCATGAACGTGTTGATATTTAGCTATTTATTTATTATTTATTTAAAACCTGCCTTGCCTGTTAGCCATTACGGGTGTTAAGCAGTAGTGGGTAGCAACGCTTTCTTGTGTTACAACTCACTGCTGCAATCAAATCAGTAATTTTTTTTTCTACCTCTGCTCACATCTTGTTCTTTGCCTTCAGCTACCGTCATCTTCAATCCATTTCTGACGGCCTTCCTGATGCAGCTTCATCTCTTCTACCTAAGGAGAACTGGATTGAGCCAATTTGCTCTTTTCACCTGTACACAAAGGGTCATTAGCTTAGGAAGATCGCTCTCCTCAGTGCCTCATAGGCAGACCATATGACTGACAAGGACATTATGCTTGCTAGTCTCCGGTACTCAGCCACTTAGGTATAGGAGATTAATGTTCTTATCATGTTCAGCGAGCTTTTCTAGGAAATCCCCATGCCCTGTGAGGAACCGTAAAGACCCAGTAGTCAGGGAGGACCCGTATTGTTTCGATTCTGGAACCGTCGATGGGGAATTATTTTCTTAGCGTTTTCCCATTATGCGTGTTTTCTCATGGAATTGTATACCATTTATTTAGGTTTTCACTATTATCACAAGAATATTCACCGGTAGGTCCAACAGTCTTCACGCAGAAGATCAACATGGATACTTCCGGATATGACCGTCTTATAGAACACTGTTCAGTACGCTCTTTGTTTGTTTCTGTGTCAGTGAGAGAGTGATAGTCATAGAAATATTTTACTTTTTTTATTTTATAGATTATACATGTAATTCAAATCACTCTTTGTACATAGATCTCAATGACTGGTTTAAGTCAACTAGAATAATGAAATGACGACGTTTTTATTACCTAATGTCAGAATAATAACTACATTTATCGCCAATTTGATTGTCTTTAAGAGTTTTTGCATTGATAAATATCACCGAAATAAATATAACGAAACAAATGGGTTCTTCAAAATTTAGCTACATTAAAAATTCTCATAAAAGAATTTTTGAAATAGTCTAATTTAACCATAAAATAATTTCTACTCATGGTAGAGTGGGAAGTGAAATTTGTGTGATGTGCGTAAGAAATTTTTTTCTTTAATTTTCCATTTTTCAATTCCTTAATGAAGCTTAAATTTAAAAGAAATCGTTTGGAAAGTCGTGGCAGTGGATACTACAGTTATTTAATTTTATTTTATTTATTGGAATCCATTCAACGTTGTAGAGTTAATGCATGTAATCTGACAGCACTGCTGGGCTGTTATAAACAAAGCAGGTTGGCTTGGGTGAGGATAACCACAGAGTAGCAGTTCTTTGTTCATTGTTATTGTGACATGTCGAGGAGAATAAAAGTCTTTTTTGTATTTGTGGTGCAAAAGTTTATCAACAAAATCTCATTGGTTTCCTGGATTGATTTCCTAACATTACATAGTGGCATTCTTTGTGTGGGAAATTAAGGATGAATTCATTTCCTAATATTACAAACGTCTTTAAAGGAATTTACAGTACTGACCTCTTTTCCAGCGACGCTCTGTATCCGTCACAGAGATTATCCAGAAGATTATCCATAAACTCTTGGACTGTATCGGACTCAGGAAGTCTACTTGAAGTTCCTGATATGACGATATCTTCGCTGCGGCAGCATTGCTTCCGGTTGTCTCCTTCGATCTGTTGTAGGTGATCCATCTTCAGAAATCTGGTTGAAAAATAACATAAACTTTTAGTAAATATTGAAATACATCAACAGAATCATTCCTAATTATAAATGCTAAATATTTTCTAGGTAATTGGTGATATAAAGAGGGTGGGATGACTAAGATGTTTTAAGGAGAGGAGGACATTTTCACGGATTTTGAATCTTTGAGAACAAATTTTGATGCAGATATGATTAAATTTATGGAGTAAACCATAAATTTGTGGGGTTTCTGGAATAACTATCTGACTCGATAACAAAGGCTAAAACATAGAACATTCTACAGCAAATGTAATTCTGTATAATCTAAAATTTTTCTAATGCTACTTTTTCTTGCACCGTTTTTATGAAGACGAATGTAATATAATTTCTTGGAAGCAGAGAATGCGCCATTAGCCTTGGGAGGATGGGCACCTCTAAATATAACCATTGAGTTTTAGAAGGCTAGTTAAAGGATACATATACTTTTAAAAATGATTCCCTTTACATAATAGCCCATGGTGGCAATCTTAGGGGGAGGAGGAACAGGAAGACGATCATTAAAGTTCAATACAACTGCACTTTAAGGAAAGATCCTCAACTGTATTGCCATCATAATTTTTTTCTACAACAAATTGTTTTAGAGCTTTAATTTCTTTTTTATCGATGACATGGGGTATATAGCAATAAAAATATATGAATAAATACGCTATTTATACCTTAAAAATAACAATGTCAAAAATAATGATATTTTGATTATCATTATCTGAATAATTTATTCATCTATTGTTGATGATATTGTGTTTTTACTAGAATCTCTATCAAGAGAATTTATCCCGTAATTATAAGTGATAAAATAAATGTTTCTAGTCCTAAGATTTGCGTTCAATATCAAAAAAACTTACTGATTTCTTCAATTATGTCCATTAAAACGTAAATATTAGAATCAGGATATTCAATTGTATATATAGTATGAATGGGCCTTACTCAGCTTTAGTACTCAGTGTCCTTAAATGTGCAAAAGTACTTCTTTTAAATATAAGTATAAATATATATATTAGAACTATAATATAGTTGGAGGATGATGAAAAAAAAAAATCACGAATAATTTATGACTTTTTAAAACCGAACTTTGCTTTGAATGGTTTTAAGAATAACAATTTTTTTTTAAAGTAAATTTTGTCTAATTTAGTGTAATGCTAATGTTTACCTAAATTCAATATTTTTTTACTTTCACTTACCTTACCTGTATATACTGTATATACTTACCTTATTTGTATATGTAATTATAGTAAGGAAAAGTATTGCAATCGTCAAAAATTTCAAATCTGTGTTTTCAACGGAAATACATTTTTTGAGGTCTCCTGAGTATCATATAAGCAAGTACCGCAAAATGGCTTGTGTGTGTGTGGTTTCGTTAGCTCAAAAATTAAAAGTCGTACGTAACTGAAATTGCAACTGACATTTCAAAATAACTGTTTTAATAATATATGTTTCATAAAATTTGTTTTAATCAATAAATGAAACTAAAAAGACTAGTTCAAATGTATTATTAACACGTTCATATTTATAATATTATATATATATATATATATATATATATATATATATTATATGAATGAGCCTCACTCAGCTTTAGTACTCAGTGTCCTTAAATGTGGCAAAATGTATTATTTCTCAATAAACAGATTTAAATATATATATATATATATATATATATATATATATATATATATATATATATATATATATATATAAATTCACCCCTTCGTTGAAAATATAAGATTTTTCTTTGGATTCAATAGTGATTCCAATTGAAAATTAATGACGTAATTTAAGATGTTAAGGAATATTGAAAATTTAATTTAACATTATTTTCAAATATTTAAAAATATTACAAAAGTCCTTGGTTCTATTTTTCGTCAATAAAATTACAAAATTTAAGGTTTGTAAATATCTTGGATGGTATAACAACAATCTTTAGTATTGTTTGATACTATACAGCCATACAATGAAATGAAAAGCGATGCAAACATATGAATAACAAACAGATTTCATGGGCAGAAAAAACATGGTAATTAATTGTTTTAAATGAAGTTATACCATCGTTTTCGCTCTTTTAATTCCCTATAGAATGTATTATTATAATTTTTTAATTTTTTTTTTCAATTCTCGACTCTATGCCGGATAAATTCACTGATCTAGACCGAGGTCAAGGGTTTATTAAATACTTAATTTGAAATTATTCACTTAATGTTTAAGCTACATTATCATCAGCAGAAACTCCAACTTCGATAATGATGGCTTTCTTTGTTTCTTTGTCAAGGAGCAGTATATCTGGTCTATTGTGGGGAATACTATGGTCAGTTATCATAGTTTGATCCCAATATAGTTTGACATTACCTTTTTTCTAATATTGCCTGGGTCTGATATCAATAAAAAGTTGATGGACAGTTATTAATTTATATTTTTGCTCCAGAGCCTGATGCACGATTTTTGCCGCATTATTGTGCCTCGCACTTTGCTGTTCTGCCTACTAATGACTGACAGCCAGAGGTAACATGTTGAATCGATTTATTTGTGGCTTTACACAGACGGCATCTGTCATCGACTGCTTCCATGTAGAATATACTTCCTGGAGGATGTTGCCATTACCTGTTCTTGTATTGCCAGGAGGGATCTCTCAGTCTCTGGGAACATTTTGCCTGTTGTCAACCAAGGGACTGAGGCGTCTAAATTTACGCCAGGTGTTTTCAGGGAATTTTAAAATCTTCCATGAAGTAGTTTACACTTCCATGATTCTGTGAGGCTCTCCTCAGTTGGCATTGTCATTGGTTCTTGCCGAGGCATATTCAATGTTGTATAGTTGTGGTCAAGGGCAGCGACGGTCGACAGCACCGTTGAGGCAATATTCATGAATCAGAGATGGGTAAATTCTACTCTGAGTACTGAGTACTAAGTATTTTACTCAAATACTGATCCTTCTTTTTGGTACCATAAAATTTAATTATCGCTTTAATTTGATTTCAAACAATTAACTGAAGTAGTGATTGTATTTTCAATAGTGATTCAATTATTTTTTTAGCTTTACTTTTTTATTCACACCTGTCATAATGGTAATGACAACCAGTGAATGTGAGGTCGAGTGATTCAATTTGAATAAAATACTTGGTGGTACTCGGTAGTCAGAATAGCATTTGCCCATCTCTGTCATGAATTAGTTAGGCTAAGCCTGCCTGGCTATATAAAGTATTATTATTATTACAGATGAAAATACGTATCTACTCTAAAGTTGGTAAGTGGAAGTTGTGTGATCCACGTACCACATCATTTTTTTTTAAGTCAAAACTTCTTAAGGCGGGTTCGTAAATGAGACTTGGAGGTCAAAATGGGATATGGGATATGTAACGCAGATTCGGGTAAAGTCTACTCGAGTTGACTAATTGAAATGTTTTTGCATTTTTATTAAAATACCTCAAAAACTAAAAATCCGACCTGCATACTGTAAGCGTGGGAAATTTTCAGCATTTCAACCTCTTTGTAATGAGTCGAAATTGTATTTTGAGGTGACGCCAAGTTTGAGTCAAAAAGAGGGAAAAAACAGCGCAAAAAACAAAACAAAATAACAAAACAAATAATAACGATTACTTTGAATATTTCGACATATTAAAACATCTGAAAATTTAAATACCATGGAGAATTCAAAAGCCGATTTGTGGACGTCAGTATAGTTACTTATTTTAAATAGACATAAAAATAATAAATTGTGTGTTTCTATTCCATTTTCTGTAGCATTCGATAGAATTTTGACAAATTATTGACCCGTTACAGAAGTTATATTAACAAAAATGACAAAGTTTTTGTTAGATATTTAGGATATAGATTTCAATCAAAAGAATTCCTCAGATATTTGAGCTTTCGTAAACCAATTGTATTACTTTTAGAGTATGATACAAATGACGAACAGTCAGAGCTTTAAGCTTGCTAGAGTAATTTATAGACAGTCATAATTTTATATATTTTAAATGTTATTACTTTGTGAATACAGAACAAAAAATAAATTATATTTCATATTATTAATTCTGCATTATTGATATTTTCACTTCCACGTGTGGCCTAAAGCACACACCGTAGTTTTCAAAATTTGTTTAACGATTATAACTTTAGAAGAATAAGAACGAAACTACCAACTGTGATATTCAACTGATTTTTGAAGTCCAATTAAAAAAAAAAAAGCTTTATAATTTACAAAATATAACTTTAAATATTTAGCTTAGCTTAGATAGATTTCAATTATTATATTCATGGTGAAAAATATAGAAAAATTTCAATGAAAAAAAGAAAATCCATTTTGAGCAGAGGTTTCAGCCAAAAGCTCTTTGGTCCGCAGGACTTTTAGGTATGTTGCAATATGACCATAGCTGTTGTAGCGAAATGACTGCGAGAGAGTCCCGGAAAATTTATCATCTTTACATCATTCCTTTGGTATGAAAAAAGACAACAAAGTCAATGTAAATTTATGATTTGATGCACGACAAATACTATGACCGAATCATTAAATTTTGTATACAGGGTTCTAAGTAAATGGAGGTGATTGATGAAGGTATATTGATGAAAAAAAAAAAATACTTTGATATTTTTTGCTCCAAAAACAAAGTTTCGGGCAAAATATTTGTCCGCAATCACCAGATCCGTGTATCAAACATCAAAAATCTTTGGTATTCCAAAATTAATGACAACAAATCTTTCCCATTATTTGTCAACATATTTCATAGACTATTAATTAAGTTAGCGAACGACCTATGAAAAATAACTCGATTTCAAAAATTAAAAAGATGGTTACCATAAATTTTGATTTACCCAAATCAAAATGTCACAAAAGGAATGGATTTTGCTTACTTTCCACCATGAATGATTTTTTATTCCCACTTGAAATTTTCTGCAAAAATTCAAAAACTGTACAACCCTTGTATGTTTCGTCTAAATGGTTCAATAGCTCAAGACGATGAGAAGT